TTGCATGCTTTAATATTTCTTGTTTGTTTTTGGCGAGTGGAGACGGTTCTTCTTGTCCTGATCATTTCATGGCATTGTTGACCTTGTGTTGACCTTCATATGACAAATAATAAACTAACTAGAAGGATGGTGAGAGACGAGGCTGCTGGGATATGGTGACCTGGTGGGGAAAAGAAGCGACTGAAAGAAGACGACTTTCTGAAAACTTCATGAAGTCATGTTTGACAAGTTTCCAATGTAGAAAGAAACTTCATCAAATCTGAGGAGGACGTCGTTACAGTTTTTCCCTCAGCAGCAAACAGAACCAGTAGGAGGCACCAACCGGTTCAGTGTTTGTTGATAAGAAGACGTAAAGTGGTGCAGGAGGAGGAGAAAGATGAAAGAAAAGAAAAACGACTTGATGCGACTTCAGTCCTCTCCGTCCCTCGTCTCCTCTCATTCTCTGCAGGTGCACACGAGAGTCCTCCCATGAGCCTTTTCTTTTCAGGACCAGATTGAAAGCACTTCATCTGTAACCCACACAATGTAACTGTGCCTTTTCAAGTGTGTGTGTGTGTGTGTGCGCTCGCAGGCCAGATGTGTTTATTCCTCCAAAACATCAGCTTCAGAGCAGGACGCAGCCCGAAAATAAAATCGATGCAGCCGTGGATTCGGTGTGTGTGTTGGAAGACAAGGCGAACCATTGAGCTGTGTTTTGAAGTGAATTAACAAGTCAAATGAGCGCTGCAGCACCCTGCATAGGTTACCACACACACACACACACACACTCCCACGCTCATCATCACAGCGGCTTTGTTAAAGAAGATGAGGCCAATTAAACTGATATCACTCTTCCCCACTCGGCTCGGGGTTTTATCCTCCGCTGCCAGTTTCCCCTTCACTTCATCAAACCGTCGCACCTTCGTTCCGAGGTCCGTCTCCAGCTCCGCGCTCCCTCGTCCGCCCCGCTCCTCCTCGCTTCGTGGTTTCTAACGGTGTGATAAATGTCCATCTGTGATCGGCCGATGCCCCCCATCGCCGTGGCGCCCGCGAGGTCGTAAACAACAGCCCGTCTCCCCCGGCAACGCGGCGTCTCCATGGACGCGGGGCCCGCTAAGACGACCAGCGCTGCGTGTGCGCGACTGAGGCGGAATGCGACATCCGACGACTGCCAAGCGTGTGCGTCATGCACGCTGAGTGCATGTGTGTGTGGGAGCTAATGAGCGATCATAAGTGAGCAAATGTTTTCTCTGGGTTCCACTAATGTTCAACAAACACACACACACATCAGGTGTGTGTGTGTGTGTCATTAGTATGCCACAGTGAGCCGAGTCCATATGTCACTAAATACACGCATGTTTTATTTATCCCGGGGAGGAGGAGGGGGGACGGAGGCCAACAGTCACTGTCAAGGGGATGGAGGAAGAAAAAAACTGGCATAAGAGGAGGTGAGAAGATGGAGGGAAGGAGGAATGAGAGGAGGTTCACAGTTAAAGGAGAGAAGGAGGACAGGACGGAGGGAGAGACGTGAAAGTCGTTGAAAAATTGCAAAGAGGAGGGAAATGAGACGGAAAAGTGCAGAAAAGGAGGAGGCAAAAGAAAAGAGAGAGGAGTGCGAGGAGAAATCAAGCAGGAAGTTAAAGACGAAAAAGAGGAGAGATCTGGAAGGAGAGAGGAAGGTGAGTTGAAAAAGGAAGAGAGGAGGGACATGAGGAGTAAAGGAGGTGGGAGGGATGGACAGATGGAGGAGTGGGACCCCAGAGACGTGTCATTCATCACACCACCCTGCAATCTGCACTCCTTCACCCTCCTCCTCTCATCTTTGTCTTTTTCGCATCATCCGTTCGATCATTTCTCCTCTCCACTCTCTTTTTTTCCGTCACTTTTCTCGTGTCTTCCTTGGTCCATCTTTTCGTTTCTCTCCCCCCCCCCCCCCCCCCCCCCCGTCTCCCTCTCAGTTCGTTGGCGCTCGTTTTAAGGTTTCATTATCCCCTCTGGCGACGTCCCTTCCTTCTTCTTTCCATCCCTCTGTTTTTTCGCTCCTGCCATTTTCACTTTCCGTGTCAACAGGAGGAAAAAATCTGTTTCATTGAAAAAGACTCACGCGAGCGAAGGGACGGACGGGGAGAGAGATGTAAAAACGAAATAAAGGAGTCGGGGAAACACGAGCAGACAAGAGGAAAGATGGAAGAATAAACAAACAAACAAACAAACAGATAAACTGGAGACGTGACAGTTTCCCACACAGCAACACTTCTTGTTCCCCATAAATGAACTTTAAAGTGTCGGCCCTGGAACAACCTCAGCCTCTGGGGGGGGGGGAGGTCAGCCTAAACGAGTGCACCACTCCTCCAGAGGGGGCCGTTTGCCCCGCACCTTCTACAAAATAAAAGCGCAGAACTTGGGAGCGCTCGTCGCCGCTTTTAATTATTCAGGCTCGCTCATATGGTGAGCGCTGGCGGATCGCTGATCGCCGGAGGAAGTTGTCGTGGCGGTGGCCACAAACTGCCAGAACTACAGCAACGCTTTCTGCAACTCAAACTACACAGGACACGATCGTTCACCGATCACATGGTTACTTAAAATTAATGAACAGATAAACATTAATCATCGTCGTCATTTTGAAATCAAGGCTCGTGGGAGTTTTAAAACACAAGTTCTCTTGAAAAAGGAAGAAGACGCCACGACCTATTTGATCGCTGTAAATTCAGTTCAGTTCAAAGATACTTTCTTAATCCCAGAGGGAATTTAAATGTTGTCGTAGCTCATCATCCTGGATTCATGCAAGAGTTGTTAGATGTTGATAGCTGTGGGCAGGAAGGATCTCCTGCAGCGAATCTGAAGAATCTGGCCACAGATACTGATCCGTCCACCCAGATCCGGCTTGCTGTCAGATCCGGCGGGCCTCTCGGTCCTCCTGGGCAGCAGGACTGCCTGAATGCTGAGCAGAATTCCTCCCTGAGCGATGGTCGCTCCTCACAGCAGTCTGCAGAGCTCCACGTCACCACGGACAGACAGCTGAAGGTGCCAGAGGATGATCCCAGTCCTCCCGCTGTCACAAGCAGAGTTTCTCACCAGCTCCAGGATTTCAGCGGCCAGGTACTCGAGCACCAGGTTGACGGGAATTCATCCACGGTGCCTCCTTTTTAACTCATTTGGGATTTGGGGCTGTAGTTGAGATATTTGAGCTTTGAGATGTTAATCAGCTGATCCTGGTTGTAAAAAAAAAACAACACCTTGTTGCCATGGTTACGCATCATAACAAATTATCCAAAAGTTAAACGTTTGAGTAAAAGTCCTTCCATCTGCACAGCATCTGATTCCAGAGGAAGTAATCATCTGAAAAAAGTGATTTACATCCAGAAAAAAAGAGGAATTAAAGTTTTCAAAAGCAACAACTCAGAATGAGCTGCTCCAACATGCAGCCACCCCGAGCGGCACAATTCTAGAAGAGCAAGAGGTACCAGAGGTACACTGACGTCTCACGACACCGAGGGATCCGAAAAGTGCATGTTTGTAGTTTAAGATGAGTGTTTTTCTAGACTGGAACTGAACAGGGTATGTAAGTGAACCTGAATGTTTGTGATGCTTCAGCAGTGTTTCCCCTACCTTTATACAAGAGGGGCGCCCCGCCCCGTCGACAGAACCGAGCGCCCCGCCTACGGAACTGATGCCATTTACATAGCGCTAAGCTAGCAGAGCGCAATACAGACACGATAGCTAAAAAGCTACAGCGCTCAGTTTCCCTCATGCTGAGCCCACAACCCCCGCTCGAAAACTGTCAGTGCAAGCGGCGTCAATACAGACGTGTCTCCGTCTCCAACACCCCCCCACACACACACACACACACACACACACTCCCCGGCAAAAATCACGGAGGATATGAGCGCCCTGCCAAGGCAAGTAAGCTAGGGGCAACACTGAAGTGGGTAGGAGTTTCACTGTGTAGAGCTTTTTTTTCTTGTCCCGTTAAACATGTGGTTTTTCCACGTCTCCTCCTCTTCACTCCATGACGGGGGACAAAAACCTCCCCCAGTGATAAAACCAACATACAAGACGCTCATTGGAAAGTCTCAAAGACAAAGTCCACACGTTTTCCTCGGTGTCTGTGTTTGTAGCCCAGACCTGAGGTCGGTCCTGTCAAATTCCTGATCACCAATCACACCGTGAGCCCCCCCTGTGATTGGAAGGTCGCCGGTTCGACTCCACGGACCGACAACATCAAAATGTGGGTGGGAAAGGTGAAGCACCCACACCTGCCTCCACTCTCATCTGCCCCACCCTGGGCCCTTGAGCAAGGCCCTTAACCCCCACCATCTGCGTCCTTCTTGAAAATGAGTCCTCGTGACTCAATGAGACTAGCTGCATAAATAAAGATTAAATTAAAAAAGTTTATTTTGTGTGAAGTTACTACTGAATTAAGTTTCAATGTCCACCCATCACTATCGGGTCTGCAGCTCCCCCCCCCCCCCCTATTTTCCAGGCTAACGAGCTTAAATGTAGTTTTACACATCAACCTACATTTAACAAACTTAAACTAATAACTAAAGTTAATAAACTTTTCCAATCACTTTCATCGAGTCTTTGTTTCCGGTTATTTTTTAGAATCCTGCATCAAACGGTGCCGATGGTTCCCAACCAGCTACAGAACCCGCCTCTCACCTGAGGCTTCACCTGAGTGTCACGGTTACACGGTGAGGCTGCAGGAGACGTGAACATCACACCTTCAGCTGGGGCACGGTGCACCGGCGGTCTCAACTTTAACTCCCACTGAACACGTTCCACGCACAAAGTTTATATTTTGGTTTCTTTCAGGTTCTGGCACAAAGCCAAGTTAGAGCTTGGAGAAATGTCAGTTGAAACTAAGGACCCGTGTTGTCATGGTAACAATTAGACAAATGAGGTTGGACGGTTGAGTTTAAACTAAGAACAGCTGTGGTTGACTCCCGTGTCCAACCGGAACCAGGAGCATCTGTTGGGGTCAAAACGAGCGCGTGGCGGAGAGACGTGCTGGCTCTCACCTGTGTGGGACAGCAGGTTGGGAGACAGCAAGCCGGGGAGGCCCGGGTGCAGCAGCCGGGGGCTCTCCTGGATCCCTGCGCCAGAACAACGTTTGGGGGGTCGGCCTGGACGAGAGCTGGAGGGCAGAGACACAAACGAAAGGAAACGCACGTCATTCATCAGAAACATCAGTTTAACTAGACGTTGTTGTTGTTGTTGTCACTTTTCACTTATCAAGTTTTAAAAAAATGAAACAAAGTTTTCCTGCTTTTATTTCCAATATAAAACAGATTTTATTATTATATGAGCAAAACTAGATGAGCTGAAAAGAGTAAAATCCAGTGAGTCATGAAGACCAGAACAGAAAGTTCATCCTAAAAGATGATTTCCTGCAGAAAGAGCGAGTTTCCACAGAAGCTGCACGTCGGAAACGTTCCACGTTTAAAATCAAGTCCGGCTCGAAGACTTGCAGCAGTATTTTTCACTACGCACGACAAAATGTATCAAATCATGAAAAGAACCAACAGGTCTGTTGTAAATGAGTCTTCGAGGCTCGGCGGGAACTAACTTGTATAAATAAAAGTCCAATAATATTTTTTATTCATCATTTAAACCCTAATGTCAAAAAGTGACGCTTCGTGAACTAAACCAGATTTACAGAAATTCTGAAGAGTTTCTGTCTGAAACTCCAACATTCAAAAAAGATCCAATAAAATGTGGGTGGGATAGGTGAAGCACCCACACCTGCCTCCACCCTCATTTGCTCCACTCTGGGCCCTTGAGCAAGGCACTTAGCCCCCACCATCGTTTCGAAGTTTGGATTGAGAGCGTTTGACCAAACGGACTTGATTTTCACCTCCAGCCAGCCGCAGACGATGCGGAGCGTTCTGTGCCTGTTTCACTCGTGTGCCTCGAAAAGACGACCCTGCCCACATCGAGGAGGCGCACGAGTTACAACCACCAGACCCGCGTCGAAGAGAGTCATGATGAGAGTGGACGGTGGAGAAACGACTCAACCCTCACAGTCCAGGGTGAGATACCACCTTAATATTTACAACATCAACCCTCAGAGACTCAGTGGACACTTTCCTGGTAAACTTATTAAACTCCTGAAATACAGTCCTGTTTTAAAGATGTCCAGAAACTACAACATTTTTAAAACTCTGAATAAAAAGCTTGTATTACATAAGAATGTTTAAGAGAACCATTTACAAAGGACGGCAGATTAATGCCTAAAGGAATTTGTTCATAAAATCCGATAGATGAGGTCATATCTTCTGCTCCGACTCGACATGCTACACGCTTGTATAAAATACCGTCATACGTGGAAACGCATGTTGTACGTGTACAGGTTGCATCCACACGGTCGAGCTTCTTTTCCACCGTTCCTGCCTCTCGCGCACACGTAACCTACTCCATTATGCATGTGCACGCAGGCATAAATAACGACAGTCGAACACAAGAATACAGTAACTGCGCACGTGCAATTTAACATGAAGGGAGGCGCACAAACCCACACACGCACTCAGGAGGTGCGCATGCAGGCCAAAACTCTGCAGGGTGGCTCGCTAACAGATGGCCGTCCAAAGTCATTTACACCTAAAGAGAGAAAATAAAAGGTGTATATGACGAGCGCCGCGGCGGCTCTGCACGAGGACGAAAATGATTAGATGGAGCCCCAAGTGTCCAAGCAGCGGGTTGTCAGAGAGCGCAGAAACAGAACGTCAACGGTAAATCGACATGCTCCGGTGACTGGGAGCTGCTTTCTGACGCATGTCTGGGCTAGATTTACTGTTCAAAATAATTAAAATTACTAATTATGGTTAGCTGTGACTTTCAGGTTGATATGTTTTATGATAGTTTTCTGAATCTTTGATATATTAAATTGTAAAAAGTGTGTAAAGATACAGACTATCTAGTGAGAGCAAGTGGTTAAAAGTAGCTTTAGCTAATGCTAACAACGTGCATAAACAAGTTTTAGCTCTATATTTCCCCCCAGACACGTCAGGGTTCACAGTATTTTTACTGGCCTCACAAATACGCCAATAATGCCACCTAATTGAACAATTAAGATAACTTTTAATAATAAGAGTTTAAACAAGTATCACTTAGCATCTAAGCTAACTAGCTTAGCTCGCTTGTCATTCACGCAGTCAAAACGAGTTAATTAGTAGGGATGCACGATATTGTATTTTGGGCCGATAGCCGATATGTTAAAACTTATTTGGCCGATAATGGATATCGATGTTTTTTAAATACTTTCCTTTGTCAGAACATCACCCTCTTATTTGCTACAAAAATTGTGTAACCGCTGTGAGAGCTGGTGACTTATATTCAGTGTGGGATTAACCTGTCTAAATAAAGGTTGAATGAAAAAAAAAACATTTATATGCACAGCACTTTAACTTATATTAAATGTTGTTTATTAGCATTAGTCACTTGTGGAGGCTCGCCACCGACATTTTGACTTCTTCCTCTCCGCCATGGTCGGATCAGGTAGGTGCACGTGACGTCATCACGTTGTGCTGGCGCTGCAGGCGTCCTCGTCACTGGGTCGTCATAAAAAACAGCGTCTTTTATATCGGCGAGTTATTTTGATGGAATGGCCGATATTTAACTTTAACGCTAATATCGGCCGACACCATGCCGATAATATCGTGCACCCCTATTAATTAGTCTTTTATTTATGGAAAATAACCAGCGCGGTTAACTGAAATCATCTGTTAGCAGCTTATATTAATAAAAAAAAATAATCAACAGTTTCACAGTTCTTTGCTATTTCTGCTGTCGGCTGGAACAAACAGCTAAAAGAAGTTAAGATATTGGGCTAACAAGCTAACGGTTTAATTTAAACATTTTATGAGGCCGAATTTTTAGTCGGGCAAATCTGGATTCTACATTAAGTTTGTGGCATGCAACCATCCTTTCTCTTCTAGCTTCAAATAAAATGTACAGCTAAAAGTATTAAACATTTAATACTTTAAAATTCAAGAATAAGGTATGAACTGTAAAAACGAGAAAAGTCAGTACCTGCAAAAAGAAACCAGGTGGTCTGCAGCTAGCCTACACGAGCTGCTTCAACTTCCACGTTATTCTCCTGTGTCTAAATATTTGTTGATGGTTCAAAGGCACGTGGCCAAACTTGAACGTATTTAAAAACAAAAACATTTTTATTGAAACCTTCAAATATATTAGATATTTTTAGGACTTTACTTATGAATAAACACCATTTAGACGTCGTTCGCTCACATTTTTTAAGCGCTTAAGAAATATTATTTTGCTTGAGTTTTGGTAGAGTACCAAGCCGGTACTGTCACATGTGCATAAATGTTTTAAAATAAAAATGAGTTGTTGTTTTTTTTTTTTTTACTAATTTGCTATAACATATTTTTTATTAGATAAGCATCTTTAAATTTTTCCATGTAATTTTTTTGCTGATCTGTTTTATTTTAAACACAAAACATTAAAGTTTTGGTTTTTATTGATCTAAAATCTTAAAAATTTCCTTTTTATTTTTAGTGGAAATAAAGATAACGCTAACTGATAGCTTGAACTTTTGGAATAGGGGTTTGACACGCCTAGCAACAGTAACCAAGGGGGCGGGGCCAGTTTCTGCAGCATTAGAAGGAGAGGATGTTGGTCTTTTCAGGAACATGTTGAGTAAATCGGTCAAATCTCGCTGGGAGGGATGGAGAGTGTGTGCGTGTGTGTGTGTGTGTGTGTGTGCGTGTGATAAAAGTTGTGAAGAGCAAATGTTTTAGGGTGTGATCTGGATGTGAGAAAAAGAAAAAAGAAATAAATAAGGCGAGCCAGAGGAGCATGATGAAATGAAAACACGAACCTTCACTTTTAGTCTGAACTCTACTTCACCTCTTCCTCCCTCTCGTGAAGTCACACACACACACACACACA